GTATCTTGAAGTCTCCGACAAACAGCGGCAACTGCAACTAGTGATGAGGCTGGTACGATGAACCTGGACCTGCACACGAAAAACATGTGCAGGAAATGACATGAGTACACCACAGCGGTACCCAGTAAGTGCCAAGCCTAACCTCAGTCGAGTAGTGACGAGATCAGGTTAGGGCCCTACTGGTGTTTATATATATATATATATATATATATATATATATATATATATATATATATATATATATATAAAATAAAGTAAGAAAGTGAGAAATATTACAGTAAGATTAAATACTAACAGTCAACAAAATGAAATCATAGAAAAACACCACAACTCAATACACAGAGATAGCAACAGGGGATCTCCATCGTCCCGTAGTCCCAAACGTAAATGTGCAGGGGGATCTCTTGGAATACCGTTCTGTAGTCCCAAAGTAAATATATCCAGTACAGGGGATCTCCCGGGATACCGTTCCATAGTCCCAAAGTAAACATTGCCGCTCAATCAATATAAATAACAGTTTCAACAAGAAATGCTACAGTTTAAATTAAATTTATATCAAAGAAGACATGCAATCCTTACTCTAAACATGCTGCATAGAGTCCAGGTAGTCAGTTAAGGCAGTTAAGACAATTAAGGAACGTAAGCATGGTTCCCTAAGCTAAATAAGATGGCTACATATACTAGTATTGCTCAATTAAAGGAAAAACATAAATATTTACTTAATGAAAACGGCGTTCCTTTTCAACAATTAGCATGTGTACGCACTCGTCACCTCACGTGCATGACATTCATATAACAACAGTACCAAATCCTAAGGGGAGTTCCCCCACACAAGGTTAGGCAAGCCACTTACCTCGAACCAAGCTCAAATCAATCCGAAATCACGCTCTTGCCACGAGTATCCAACTCCGAGTGGCCCAAATCTAATCAAGTCAATTACATAACGTTAATAAAGCTACAAGCAACTAATTTAGCTAATGAATTCAAAGCTAGGGGTAAGAAAATAGAAAAACGCTCAAAAATCCTCCCCGGGCCCACATCTCAGAATCGGGTAAAAGTCACAAATTATGAACACCATTCACTCACGAGTTCACTCGAATAAAAATCATCCAATCCGACGTCTAATTCCCATTCAAACCTCAGATTTTCAATTGGGGAACTTTTCCCCCTATTTCCAAACCTCCACCCTCAAATTCCTTAATTAGATGAGGAAAACAACAATGGATTAATATAATATGATCAAAATAGAGTTAGAATTAGTTACCTAATAGTTCTCCCTCAAAATCCCTCGAGAAATCACCTCCCACCGAGCTCCAAATCAAATTTTGTGTTATGAAATTTCAAACCCTCGAAATCCTCTTTTCTGCCCAGCGATTTTCGCATCTGCGCTCATGGGGCCGCATCTGCGGAAAAATCATCGCAGGTGCGAAGGTCACTTATCTGGGCTGGGGTCGCATCTGCGGTCCCCCAGCCGCACCTGCGGTCTCAGCTGCAAAGGTCCCTCTTCGCTTCTGCGTCTCCCAAGCCGCTTCTGAGGCACCGCACGTGCGGTCCTAAAACCGCAGGTGCGAAAACATCAGGTGCAGCAAAACTTCAGCAAAAATGCCTAAGTCCCAAACCAATCCGTTAAGCATCCGAAACTCACCCGAGGCTCCCCGGGACCTCAACCAAACACACCAACCAATCCTAAAACATTATACGAACTTAGTCGAGCCCTCAAATCAGATCAAGGAACGCTAAAACCACGTATCACCCTCCAATCTAAACTTAATGAACTTGAAATTTCAAAATTCTACAACCGATGTCGAAACCAATCAAACCATGTAAGATTGACCCCAAATTTTGCACACAAGTCATATTCAACAGTATGGACCTACTCCAACTTCCGAAATCAGATTCCGACCCCGATATCAAAAATTCCACTATCGACTCGAAATTCCAAAAATTCAACTTTTGCCATTTCAAGCCTAAATGAGCTATCGACCTCAAAAACACAATCCGGAAACGCCCCTAAGCCCAAAATTACCCAACGGAGCTAACAAAATCGACAGAATTCCATCCCGAAGCAATCTTCACACTGTTCTGACTGCGGTCCAAATTCTAAGATTTAGGCTCTCATTTAGGGATTATGTGTCCCAAAACACTCTGAAACTCAAAATGAACCATCCCGGCAAATCACAATAGTAGAAAAAGACACGGGAAAAGTAGTTAACAGGGGATTGGGGCATTTATTCTCAAAACGATCGGCCGGGTCATTACAGACACCACAGTCACCTATGAGGAATTATATGAAAAGCTTCTTGACCATGAGCTCTTTATCCGTCACGAGGAAGCCAAGAAAACCAATAGTCCTATCACAGCAGCAGTTGCCACTCACAACAAACAGAACAACAATTCCAACAATCGCAACAATCGCCGCCAATCTTACAACAACAATTCTCAGCGATGGCGATATAACAACCGCCCCAATACATCTACCCAGTGGCAATCCCCACATAATAACACAATAGGTATTATTCGTTGTCAACTATGAAACAAGATTGGCCATGTTGCAAATGTGTGCCGCTCCAAGTCACACAACTACTTTGAGGCCAAAGCCAATTACATCACAGGCTTCAACACCACTGCTAACCCGTGGATAGTCGACTCTGGTGCCACACACCACATAACAACTAAACCTCACAACCTACAGCCGTACCACAACAACGAGGATGTCTCCATGGGTGATGGTAACAAAATTTCCATCTCACATATCGGCTCTACTTAGTTAAATGCATCAAATAATATTTTTAAGCTAACTCACACTCTATGTGCTCCAGCTATTAAACGCAAGCTTATTTCTGTTTCCAAATTCTGTCAGGACAATCTAACATCTGTTGAATTTTTTCCTTTCTCTTTTCTTGTGAAGGATCTGAAAACGCGAACACCGTTGGCGCGCGACCGGACAAAAAATGGACTATATGAGTGGCCCATTTCACATCCACAAGATCACATATCTACCACTGCAACTCTCTTAACCACTTGGCACCAGACTGGGTCATCCGCACTCTAAAGCTCTTACATATGTTCTGAATAAATTCCCGCTTCCGTTTGATAAGCGAGACAAGTTTCTTTATTGTAATTCTCGTTTGTCTAATAAAGCCCATCGGCACCCGTTTCACCAATTAACTCTAAAAAGCTCTAAACCTCTTCAAATTATTTTTAGTGATATATGGGGGCCCTCTCCTGTGTTATCTCTTGACAAAAAAATTATATTATTGTATTTTTGTTGATCAATACACGAGTTATAATTGGCTCTACACACTTACAAATAAATCTGAAGTCAAAGCAATTTTTCATAAATTCCATCCTTTGATAGAAAAATATTTCGATACCAAAATTTTATCGCTTGATATTGATGGTGGAGGAGAGTATAAAAGTCTTGATTCTTATCTTTCGGTTCACGGTATTGAACATCTTTCTACCCCACCCTATACGCCTCAAATAGTTGCTCTTGCTGAGCAAAGACATTGCCACATTATTGAAACTGCCAAAACACTCTTACATGAGGCATCTCTCCCATCACTTTTTTGGTCCTTCGCTTGTCACCATGCAGTTTATCTAATTAACCGACTACCTACACCACTTTTAAATAATAATTCTCCGTTTGAAAATTATCTAGAAAGGCACCTGACTACACTTCTCTATAAATTTTTGGTTGTTTATCCATTGCTTAAACCATACTCCAAAAATAAACTTGAACCAAAATCCACCCCATGTGTTTATCTCGGGTTTTCCTTGTCCCATCACTGCCACCAGTGCTTTAATCAAATATCGTCAAAAATTTATCTATCCCGAGATGTGCAATTTTTTGAGAATAATTTTCCATTCAAAAATTTATTCTCCAATTTTGCAATTAAAACAACTCACCTTGAATGGGCAAATACTACAATTATTGATTCACACAACCCCACCCCTAATGTTTCTGTTATTTTAGATTTTCCCCAACCAATTAAATTATCAATTGACCCCCCCAGTTACAGAACACCAGTCAAACACGACTTCTCCTTACCCTACCCATACAGTACTACCTCCCCAATCCTCCATCTCCGGTGCGCCAGCGGCAGAAGCGGGTTTGGACTCTCCACAGACTCCTACTCAAGGTAATCCTCACTCTTCTCCTTCTTCTGTAATTCCCACTGCCTAGGACTCTATTTCCCCGTGTCCATCTTCTCCAAATAATGCTTGCACTGCCCGTCACCCACTACTCACCAAGACCCCTATAAATGCACCAAGTCCCAAATTCGGAGCATCACAAACCTTTCCCCCTTCTAGTGTATCATTGTAGAACACCCCAATCTAAAACCATGGCCCCTCCCCCTGATGCCTCTGTTTGAATAGACAACTGCCAAGAGGCACCATCAGTTGAACCTACATTGACACAATGCCCTTCCCCTCCCAATCGTATAGTCACTCGTTCTCAGAATAATATTCAGAAACCAAAAGAATTTTTGATTATCTTGCTCACTTAGAAACCTCACTTGTGCCGCATACCTTCAAACAAGCGGAGAAACACCCTGGGTGGAGGAAAGCTATGAAACTAGAATTTGATGCTTTACTGAATAACCGTACTTGGGAACTAGTCCCAAATCATCCTTCTAAAAATGTTGTTTCGTGTAAGTGGCTTTTCAGGATTAAAAGAAAAGCATACGGGTTTGTTGATCACTACAAAGTGAGATTGGTTGCCAAAGGATTTACTTAGAAGCCGGGTGTTGATTTTCACTCGACTTTCAGTCCGGTAGTCAAATCCACCACTGTCCGAATCATACTTGCTGTTGCCCTCTGGTTTCATTGGCCTCTTCTCCAAATCGACGTCAACAATGCATTTCTTCAAGGTGACCTTGAAGAAGATGTTTACATGACGCAACCTACGGGCTTTGCTTGTGACAACAATCCGACTCATATTTGTAATTTGCGCAAGGTGATTTATGGTCTGAAGCAAGCACCTCGGGCTTGGTATAATGCACTCAAAGGTCATCTTCTATACATGGGATTATTCAAGACCGGATAACTCTTTGTTTGTTAGGATAAGCAATGCTGGCTTCATGTTCATTTTGGTATATGTCGACGACATCATCGTTACAGGCAGCAATCCTATCACTGTGAATGAGGTTATAGCTTCTCTTTCCTCTCGCTTTTCACTTAAAGATATGGGAAACCTTCATTATTTTCTTGGTGTTGAGGTGATTCGAAGTTCTGATGACATTATTCTCTCTCAAGCAAATTATGCCAATGAAATTCTAAATGCTGAAATGATGTCTGATTACAAAAGTGCTAAAACACCAATGAGTAATTCCGAGTTACTCAAACCCAATGATGGGGCTCAACTTATAGATGAAACTCATTATCGCCGAGTCTTAGGGAAACTTCAATATATGTCCTTTACAAGGCCGGACATTTCCTATGCAGTTAACAAATTGTCCCAGTTTATGCAGCCATCGGACTTACATTAGAAAGCTGTGAAACATGTTCTCAGGTATCTTCGTGGTACAATCCAGTTTGGCCTACGTGTGACTCCAAATTGTGATTTCAATATGCACATGTACTCTGATGCCGACTGGGCTGGAGATCTCACTGACAGATCTTCCACATCTGGCTACATTCTATTTTTTGATCGCAATCCTATCAGTTGGTCTTCAAAAAAGCAAAAAACTGTAGCTCGCACGTCAACTGAAACTGAATATAGAGCTGTTGCCAATGCCCTTGCCGAGTTACTGTGGATAAGAAACCTATTACTTGAGATGAAGCTCCCTGTCAGAGATACCCCTACAATCTACAGTGAGTGACAATATTGGTGTCACTTACCTAAGCGAGAATCTAGGCCTTCACAGTCGCATGAAGCATGTTGAGGTGGACTTTCACTTTGTGCGTAACCATGTTGAAAAAAAGGTGGTTGAGGTTGCTCATGTTCATTCTGCTGACCAGCTCGCTGATATGCTTACCAAACCACTTGCCAAACCAGCCTTTGACCGAGATCTGTCCAAGTTAGCCTTAGTGACACATCGCCTAACTTCAGGGGGCGTATTGGAACAACTGCTGTTACTAGTTGTTATCCGTTAGGATTAGTCCTTATCTTTAATGCTTACCCTTAGATTAGATAGAGATTTAGAGTTCTACTTCCAGTTCATATTTATCATTTAGTTAGTTAGCTTTTGATAGTGTTTTGATTTGAATAAGTCTCCTAATTCAAGGAGTACTCTTAGGAAGACTTGTATTTAAACTGAGCTTGGCATTCAATATACATATAGTTTTTCGTCATATCTTTGAGTTTTTATATGCAATAGTGATAATAATTGGGATCTATCCAAGATATCCTTCATTTACCACTCAATATCATTGATAATATTAACTCTATTCCTCTAAACATATGTCCCAATGCTTTTGACACTCCGGTGTGGGATATCAATAGTAGTGGTACATTTACGACTAACTCTTGTTATAAGCTTATTGATGGCAAAATTAATACTGAGAAAGATTTAACATGGATTTGGCGCCTGCACACCCCTAATAAAATTAAGTTTTTCTTATGGTTATGCTACCACGATAGAATTCCTTGTTGCTGGTACTTAAATTATATAGGCATGAACACTGATGTTACTTGTCCGGTATGTAGAGATTCTCAAGAAACTATTACCCATATATTACTACACTGCTATGTTACTAAGAATATTTGAAATAATTTGAGTGTTACAATAGATCACCATGTAGTCGACACTGATGATAAACATTGGCTTCTAGGACTTAGAGATCTAACTCAACCGAGGTAATAAAATACTTGGATCAAGGATACCCTACTTACAACACTTTACTTCATGATTGCAGGTGGCTAATATCCAGAATAAGGAAGCTGAAGTTAAAGCATAACTTCAAAGAAGAAAATGAAGTAGCTCACTTGTTAGCTAGGGAAACAACTGATGTTTTATACTTCAATACCACACAAGAGGGGGGGGGGGTGATTTGTGTGGTGACCCATTTTTTTGCTTAAGCTGTTTTATGGAAGGACTTGGTTCTTCTAAGTGTTCCTTAACCTACTATTGCAGAAATAGTAAATGTAGAAAGTAAAGAACACAAGTATTTTACGTGGAAAACACCTGGCTCAAAAGGTGAAAAAACCATGACCTACTTTCCAGTAGGATTTTCCCAAACTCTCCACTAAAATCACTGAGCTAAAAACTGCATTTACAAACTCTTTTGTAAACCTAGGACTAACTCTAATCCCGTTGTAGCTCACAACCTCAACTGTTGCGACAACTTCAAGTTAACTCTAACTTGAAAACTCTGAGTACCTAATACAATTGCTTCTAGATAAAGCTGAAAGGTACAATATGAAAACACCTACTACAATTGAACTAGAACAAAAGACAGACACTTGGAAGTGGTTCTTCTATCTGGTTCAAGTAGCTTCAGGTTTGCACGCTTGAATCACACACAAATTGCTTGCAAAATTGCCTTGCTATTTTGCTCTCAATTCACGTTTAACTTCTGCTTATGTGCGTTACCTGTAAAAGAGAACAACACTGATATTCATAGAGTTAGTGATGATTGTAAATGTTGTCCCGAGGGTATGAAACCCCGGATTTCACATCATTTCACTACTTCGAGGTGGCGCACACGCTAGACGACGAGCGTGGGGTCGTGCACCATTGGGGATTATGACTTGGTCAGTCCTGTATGACTATTAAGTCACGTATTTGATTGAAAACTGTTTGATATTATTGTGTTTTGGGAAAGTATTACTATGTTTGGGGCTAAATGCCGTGTTTGGGCCTCGTACCGACTGTTTGGACCCTTAGGGGCTTTTTTTTACTATTGTTTCCTCACTGTTTTTGGTTTAATATCTACACTTAGTCATGCTATGTTTTACTGATTTCATAACTCGGTTCTATTTACTCCGTTTTGATTCTATAAATGATATTTTGGGCTGAGCACCTGTTTTACTGTTAGCCCGAGTGGTTTGAGAGATTTCTGATTAAGTAAGGCCGAGGGCCTGTGTTGTGAGGATATCATGGGATCGGGCTGCGCGCCGCAGCATGTTGTAATGATTTGTGATATATGAGATGCCGAGGGCCTGATTTATTATACCACGAGATGTCTTGTGATAGCGCTTGGGCTGTATGAGCCCCTCCAGAGTCTGAACACCCCCAGTCAGCATGGATACCTAGTGTGTGTGATGTGATATTTCTCGAGGGGCTGATTTTGATTATGTTGTTGCTCGAGGGGCTGATTATGAGTGATTGTGAGGTAGCCCGGGGGGCGGTTTACGGTACATGTCTTGCCCGAGGGGCTGTTTATGTTTTGTGTCATTTTACTCACTGTTTTCATCACTTACTTGAAACTATTGAAAGATGTTTAAAAGAAAAGGCTTTTACTGAACTTGAGTCTGTTTTTACGAGTTAATTGATTTTTGTACTATGTTGGAAATATATTGTTTTGCTGTACTGCTATGACATGGAATTATCTATTTTCTTACTGCTAAGCTGCTTTTACTTTTATTACTTACTGAGTTGGCGTACTCACATTACTCCCTGTACCTTGCGTGCAGATCTAGGAGTTGCGGGTCTTGATAGCGAGCATTGATCGGTTCTCTCAGTAGGTCTTAGGGTCGACAAGGTAGCTGCATGGCATTCGCAGCCCTGTTCTTCTCCCTCATATCTTCCCTAGATTATATATTAGTATTTTCTTCTAAACTTTGTTAGACCTTCTTGTAGTTAGAAGGATTTTGTAGTTGCTCATGACTGGTGACTCCCTGATGTCGGGCTTGTGTATTTTCTTTCGCACTGGTTATTTAAACTTATATTATGAGATATTTTGTTAATTAATGGCTGAAAATGACTTTTATAGGATTCTGGTTGTATTTTGGTTTGCGTCGGCTGGCCTAGTTTCACGATAGGGGCCATCACGACCGGGTCAGTTTTAGGGTCATGACAAGTTGGTATTAGAGCCTAGGTTACATAGGTCTCACAAGTCATGAGCGGGTTTAGTAGAGTCTCGTGGATCAGTACGGAGACGTCGGTACTTATCCTCGGGAGGCTGCAGAACCTTTAGGAAAAACTTCATATTCTTGAATTCCTATCGCGCAAATCTGTTGATTCTGGTAACTAAACTTCTATTATTCTATTCTCTTACAGATGGTGAGGAACGTGCTACCGGTCAGGATGGACGACCACCAGTACCACCAGCTGGGGCCACTAGAGGCTGAAGACGCGGTCGAGGACGTGGTAGGGGCAGGGGTGTAGCCCGCACAGCAGCTAGGGCAACACCTGCAGATCTACCAGCCGCCCCAGTTTAGGATCAGGTCCAGTTGCAGACACTCTGACAGTACCAGAGGCACCAGCTGTGCTTATTGTTATCCTAGGCCTTCAGGAGGCCCTGGCCTAGATTCTATCAGTGTGCACTGGCCTGGCTCAGGCAGTCTCAGTTACTACGACTGCAGCTACTTCTCAGGCCGGGAGAGGCACTCAGACTCCGGCTGCTCGCACACCGGAGCAGGTCGTGCAGGGACTTCACACACCGGGGGCACCTCCATCCCAGCCGGTTGCAGCTGCTCAGGACTATGTAGCTCCTGTTATGCTAGAGGATGAGCAATGCAGGTTGGAGAGGTTTGGTAGACTTCATCCTCCGTCATTTAGTGGTGCTGAGGGTGAGGATGCACAGGGTTTCTTGGATAAGTGTCAGAGGATGCTTCGGACAGCCGATATTCAAGAGACCAGTGGAATCTCGTTCACTACTTTTCAGTTCTCTGGGGCTGCACTTAGATGGTGGGAGGCTTACGAGAGGCGTAGGCCCCCTTTCTTGGCAGTAGTTTTCCGTTCTCTTCCTAGAGAAGTTTGTACCTGAGTCTCGCCGAGAGGAGCTGCGCAGGCAGTTCGAGCAGCTTCATCAGGGTGATAGATCTGTCTCACAGTATGAGATGCGATTCTCCGAGTTGGCTCGTCATGCGGTCTGGTTGGTTCCCACAGACCGAGAGAGGATCAGAAAGTTTATAGATGGCCTCGGTTTTCAACTTCAGTTTCTTATGACCAGAGAGAGAGTATCTGGCGCTACCTTTGATGAGGTTGTTGACATAGCTCGGCAGATTGAGATGGTTCGTGGTCAGGAGAGGTTTGAGAGGGAGGCTTAGAGGCCTCGTGGTCAGGGTGGATTCAGTGGTACTCCTCATGGGGGTTAGTTTCAGCACGACAGAGGCCATCCATTCAGGTATGCTCAGTCAGCTCGCCCAACTTATCGTGGGGCATCATCGGGCCTTGGTTCTCATTGTTTTCATCAGGGCCATTCCTCACTTAGTGCCCTTCCAGCCCAGAGTTCGTCCCGTGCTCCATCAGTTCAGGGCTCTTCTATGCCAGGTTCTTCTGCTAGTCATCCCGGTGCTAGGGGTTCCCTTCAGTCCCCGTCTCCAGCACTTGGGGGTTGTTATGAGTGTGGAGAGTTGGGGCATATGTGGAGGTAGTTTCCTCATCGTCTTGGGGGTCCATCTCAGTAGAGGAGTCAGCCATCGACTTCAGCACCAGTTACTTCACCACCCACCCAGCCAGCTAGGGGTGGAGGACAGTCAGCTAGAGGTCGCTCGGAGGGGGAGGTCGATCAGGTGGTGGTCAAGACTATTTCTATGCACTCCCAGCTAGACCCGATGCTATTTCTTCAGATGCTGTAATTACAGGTATCGTCTCAATTTGCAATAGAGATGCCTCTGTGTTATTTGATCCCGGTTCCAATTTTTCACATGTGTCATCATATTTTGCTCGTTATTTGGATACGCCCCGTGAGTCTCCCGCTCATCTGTTCGTGT